ATCGGAAGATACTGGATCTAAGGTTCATAGCGTTCTGTTGGTAACTGACATGACACTATTAAAAGATATGATTGGTTGTCAGTGTAAAAAAACTTTACACTGACAGTGTATAGGTAATTAACTCTAATACAATAAAATATTTGTGTTATACGTCCTATTTTCTCCAACTTATGCCCTCTTTATATATATAAAATCAGTACTTAGAAAGTTTTTTTTATTGGAAATAACGGTTGGGAATTGGGATGTATGTTATTGCTAGAGTAATAAGAATTTCAATCTCTGCCCCCACACATAAAATCCTAGTGTCTCAACTCTTAAGCCATGGTTTATACATTATGATTTCAATAGACTACTGACATGAGAGAAACTGGAGAAATTTTGATAAAAATGAGGGTTCTACTTCACAGGATATGATTCCCTTTCGTCTATCTTTTTCTTACATTTAATTCTATCTGACAACATTCAAACACTATACAATCATCTTGCATACAGATTTTTTGATATGTTAATAAATCCATATCATCCATCCTACATAAACTAGAAAATAATGTCACGAAATCCTTCTTTAACTGATTCGGAGGTCACTCCTTTGTGCTGTGTGGCTTGGGATTTTTTCAAGATAAACTATGGCATTGCTGGATGGAATCAAGAATACTGTTCCTCAGTTACTTATGTTTGAATGTACTAAGAAAGTATCCTAAAGAAAGTTGGACCAGAACCTATTGAGCATAAGATGATAGAAATTCATATAATGTGTTTTGACCAAGTAAGAAGAATACCAATGGAAGTGAATCAAATTGGTAATAAGGATAGGAAAGGCTTTATTTTAAAATAAAAATGGGAAAATAAAAATTCCCTTACTTGACCATCAAAACATGGGGAAATACTCCCCCCTCAATCTCCTTCCTTCCTTTCCTTCTTTTTTCTTTCCCAATTTTCCTTTGGATAAAATTTAGATGCAGTTCCTTAAGTGCTTTTGGTGTTATTCTCCAATGAAAATTGAAGTTTCATCTCAGTAATCTATGCTAACCATTAATGGTAATCTCTATTATGTGGATTATTGAAGTAAAACTTTAATTTTGATTGGAGAATAATACTAAAAACAACTAAGAAACTGTATCTTAATTTTGTCCTTTCTCTTTCCATCAGTCACCCCTCTTTAAAACATCCAAACATGGCAGAGGTTTTAAAACTTGTTTTTGTGTGAACAGGATCTTAATTCACCAAACGAGGAAAAGAATACACCACTTCATTGGGCGTGTCTCAATGGGCATGTTAAGGTAAACAATGTGCTCATCCAAGAACATCTCTTAATTGTTTCCCAGGACATGGTTTTCCTGAGCATGCAAATACTTTTCAGGTTGTGAAGGAATTAATCATGGCCGGAGCTAATGTTAGTGTTTTAAACAGGTTTGTTATATTACCTGAACCTCAAGCATTTTAAGATGTGCTTAGAGCTTCTTATAATGAATGTTTTGACAATACACCTTTTTCAGTCACGAGCGGACTCCAATGGATGAAGCATTGAGTAGAGGAAAGCTAGAAGTGATGGATGCAATTAATGAAGCAGTAGCACTAGTAGAACTTCGTGGTGCTATGGTTTCTGCACAGGAAACTTGAAGTTTATGCTACTCTAACCAGCCTGTAACATGAGAATTTGGTGATATTTATACATGTTTTCCTACAATTGTTACTTTGTCAATGTGAACATGATCATGAGCCTGTTTTTTTTTTTTTTGTTTTTTTTCCCCTCCCCAGTTTCCATAATGGAATTTCTCTTTGGAAAATGGAATTGAAGGAGTTGCATATATCCCTTTTTGGACTTAAAATGAAGCTGATTAACTTTATTTTTTCCCGAAAAATCAACGAAATGGCATGCAGTCAAAAGGGAGAAATTAGAATTGTAAGAGGAAAACTAATAAATCAATAAAGATATGTACCCAAAAAAATTGCAAGAGAAATGATGATATTTAATGTTATACACAATTTATTAAATGATAGAAAATTGAAAAAGAATAAAAGAAAAAGACAATTTCAAAATGTAAATACTAATAAATTTTAGTTTAAATAAAAAAATATACCGTGTTTCAGAAACCTTTTTTGTTTTGTTTTTTTTTTCTTTTACTTTAGTCTATACAGTTTCTTTTTTCAGTTTATCCGTACATGAATTTTGAATAATTTGTTAATATAGGCATTAAATATTGAATTTAACCTAATTTTTTTTTCATACATTAAAAATAGGAAAGAGTGTTGGTATTACTGTATTGAAAACACTATACTACTTATTATTTAGGGGTGTAACTATGTATGTATGGATAATTTGTGAACTCAAATTAATTCAAAGTAATCCAATGAGTTTGGATTAAATTTTTTTAGTGTTCGAATAAGATTTAGTCCAATTTGATCAAAATTTAGTATCGTACGAGTTGGGTAACAAATTGTATTTTTGACTTGTAACTTAATTTGACTTGGTCATCATATAATAATAATAATAATAATAATAATAATAATAATTAATAATAATAATAATAAATTAGTGTAATAATTTGTTCAGGATAATACTCTCCGTCATTCTTGTTCAATAACAAGTAGGAAGTAAATCAAAGAGAATTTAGGACTTTTGAGAGAGAGAATTCTGAAGAGAAATCTTAGCCAAGCTCAATATATGTTCAAAAGTGAAATTTACAAGTGAAACAATCTATATATAGTTGTCAAGAAGCTTTTAGTGCAAGTTAGACGAGGTAGAGACAAGATAGAGACACTTAGATCTAGTTAGCCAATCATAGAGTGCCAATTGTCACCTTTGTCTCCTAGGAGACAAGGAGGAGACACTTAAATTTAGAAGAGCTAATCAAAGAGTGCCAAGTGTCATCTTGTCCCCTTGATTAGCCAAGGGACTAGGGATGACAAATATACTTGTACCTGCGGGTAATACCTGAACCCATCCCAACTTTGATAAGGAATACCCGGTTTGACCTAGGGATGGCAATGGGGCCCCATAGGGGCGGGTAATAGTAAACCTGCCCCCGCCCCGCTGAATAAAAATTGGCCCCATACCCACCCCATATCCGTGCGAGTATCCATTAAGCGGGTATCCATGAATTTCTTGAATACCCATGGATATCCATGGATATTTATAAATTTTTTAAGAAATTAAAAAAATTATATTACAAATAATTTTAAGTTTATATTTAATGTCATTGACATATTAAAAAATAAAAATTTAATGTTAATTTTGAATTTGTATTTAACGTTAATTTTGTTGAAATAATAATAAAAATGTAATATAATCAATAACTTAAAATACATCAATCTGACAAGTAAGTTAAAGTCTCATTACAAAGTTACAATAATTCAATCTCATAATTCCAAACAAAAGTAAATAACTTAAAGTACATAAATCTTATTGGTCCAATCAAAGCTAGAAAATTAATTAAATTACATCTAACATAATTCTATAACATGCTTAACACATGTTAGTAACTTCATCAACCTCACTTTTGTAAGAAAATAAGATGAGAGAGTGTAGTTTTAGGGCTATGTGGTATAAGAATAATTAAGATATTTAAGAAATAATATTAAATGGGTATCCGCGAGTATGGATATCATCATACCCGCCCCCGCCCCATTTATAAACGGGTAAAAAATTATCCGTTCCCATTATCCGCGGGTATCCAATTAGCCTATCCATTTATTATCCGTAGCGGATTTTATCCGCAGGTACCAGCAGGTGCGAGTATTTTTGCCATCCCTAAGGTTACCCATCCCTATATTACTCCAAGTCAGGCACACTTAATTGTGAAGTTCTGATGAGATAAGCTTCCCCGTCCCGTACCCGTACCCGTCCCCGTTTCCATTTTTAACTTAATACGCACTTTCAATTTAATTATATTAAATAATTTTAATTTTTTTATGTGTGATAATTTATTATAATATGAGATAGAGAAATAACCTAATTATAATTATAATATAATAAAAAATAATTTAAAAATATCATATTTTTTTTATAAAAAATAAAAAATAAAAAAATTGACGGGTACAGGTACGGGTACGGGTACGGGTATACCCGTTACCCGCGGGGACGAGGATGAGGATAAAAATCATATACTCGACGGGTACGGGTACGGGGACGGGGATGGGTTTGACTCGCGAGGACGGGGACAGGTATCATGAAACCCGTACCCGACTCGCCCCGTTGCCATCCCTACAAGGGACAAGTGTGTTGAGGAAGCTTCACAATTTTCGACCAAACAAGGAGGATAGACGACCTAGTTGATTTTCTTCATCTAATCCAACCCAAAAATAGTATGACTTGGATTAAATGAAGAAAAACAAGTCTAATATGTATAATTTGGACTAGGTCCACTAAGGGCCCAATTGCTAGCTTCACCTACATACTTGTTATTTTCTACCCCCAATACTAATACTAAAAATATGAAAAACTATGACCATTAATACAAGATCAAATGGAGTAAAAGTCTCAAGTAACATGCCCTAAAATCCTAAGGAAAAAATAAAAGTGCCTTACAAATACAAAGATAAAAATAGACCTATACACGTATCTACTATGTACAAAATACTATACAAGGTATATACAATAGAGACTAAGGAACTAATAAAATGAATTATACTCAATGCTCATATATAGCATAGATATAAAAAAATACCTCCTCTATAGAAGCCTCCCCTAGCCTCCTAACCATGGACCTAATTAAAGGTCCAATGGTCTTCATGTGTGAGCTCTTTGTGGGTGGTATGGTCTTCATGTTTGAGCTCTCTATGGATGATCCTCTGTCATACCCTTCTTCTTGAGAAGGATCTGTCCTCAAATCTATGTCCTCATCATCAATGTCAGCATCACCTGCATAAGGTACAAGATCACAAACATTAAATGTGTTGCTAACACCATAATCAAAAAGTAAATCTAACCTATATACATTATCATTGATCCTTTGGAGGACTTGGAATGGACTATCTCCTCTTGGACCTAGTTTGGACTTTCTTTGTGTAGGAAATCTATCTTTTCTTAAGTGAAGCCAAACTAAGTTTCCTTCCTCAAATACAACTTTCTTTCTCCCTTTGTTATTGTTTTCAATATACTTTTGAGTTTGTTTTCCAATATGGTCTTTAACCTTCTCATGGAGTTTCTTTAAAAAATATGCCTTAGATACTCATTCTTTATGTAAATAACAAGTACTAGGTAATGGAAGTATGTCAAAAGGAGTGAGAGGGTTAAAATCATAAACAACCTCAAAAGGAGAAAGATTGGTAGTCTTATGGACTACCTTATTGTATGCGAATTCTACATGAGGAAGATGTTCATCCCAAGACTTCTTGTTATTTATCAAGATAACCCTTAATAGCGTGGATAAAGATCTATTTACTACTTCTGTTTTTCCATTAGTTTGTGGATGATAGGTAGTAGAAAATAGAAGTTTAGTTCCCAGTCTTTCCCAAAGTGTTTTCCAAAAATGACTAAAGAACTTAACATCCCTATCCCAAACTATTGTTTTAGGGATACTATGTAACCTAACAACTTCTTTAAAGAAAAGTCTTGAGATATGGCTAGCATCATCTACTTTGTGGCATGGTATAAAGTGAGCCATCTTTGAAAATCTGTCTACTACCATAAAGATAGAATCATATCCCCTTATATTTCTTGGGAGACCAAGTACAAAGTCCATACTTATGTCAACTTAAAGGGTGCTAGCTATTGGAAGAGGTGTGTAGAGTTCATGAGGCATATCTTTAGACCTAGCTTGTAAACAAGAGCTATACATTTAAAGCAATACCTTTGGACATTTAGTCTCATATGTGGCCAATAAAATCTTTCTTTTATAAAACTTAAGAGTTTTATCAACTCCAAAATGGCCCATGAGAGTTTTATTGGCCACATATGAGAGTAAATGTCCAAAGGTATTGCTCTAAATGTATAACTCTTGTTTGGACTCTTTGGGTATGCATACTTTACCCATCTTAAATAGATACCTATCACTAATGTAGAATCCATCAAAAACTTTCTTAAGATTTTGAGCATAGGTGAGTTGGAAATCTAGATCTTATTCATACAATTCCTTAATGTTATCAAATCCAAGGGTTTGATAACTAAGGGTAATAAGTAATGTGTATTTTCTTGAAAGTGAATCAACTACCACATTACTTTTACCCTTCTTGTATTTGATATCATAAAGGAAATTTTCTAAATATTTTACCCACTTAGTATGTCTTTTATTCAACTTACCTTGCCCTCTCAAATACTTAACTGACTCATGATCAATATGTATAATGAAATCCTTTGTCACTAAGTAATGTTCTTATGCCTTAATTAGAGTATAAAGCTTTTTTTCATAGGTGAGATAATTCAAGGTGGGACCACCTAATTTTTCATTGAAATAAGCAATGGGGTGGTCACCTTGAAGTAAAACTGCACCTATACCAATACCACTTGCATTACATTCTAGCTCAAAAGTTTGAGAAAAGTTTGGGAAAGTTAGAACGAGTGCATTGGTGAGTTGGATTTTTAAGTTAAGAAAAGTCTTTTCTTGCTTCTCCCCCCAAATAAAAGGTATATCCTTTTTAACCAACTCGTTAAGAGGAGATGTAAGGGTGGAGAAGTCCTTAACAAACCTTCTATAGAAGCTTACTAGGCCATGGAAACACCTAATGCATCCTACATTCTTAGGGGTGTTCCATTCTTGGATGGCTTTAACCTTTTCGAGGTCAACCTTGACTCCTTCTTTGCCAACTATAAAATCTAAGAATTTGATGTCCTCTTGGCAAGAGGTATATTTCTCTAAGTTGGCATAGAGATGGTTGTCTCTAAGAATGA